AAACAAGACTTCAAGACCACGGCCACACAGCCTGGAAGACCCACACCAGCCACCAATTACTAGATGATCAAAGAAATCATGGTTCTTTTTTGTCTTTTCCTTATAATGTTGGATCAATTGTCTATCATGCTGTACCACTGCTAGCATGATTATGAAAAGTTGTCATTTGCAGAATCCCTTTTCTATAGTTCCGGAAGGCCATTCAAACTGCCAACATTCTGCAGTATGTTTTGGTTTGTTTTTAATAGAGTTAAAGTGGAGGGATGACAGAAAATTCTAGCCTTACCCTTGTTTAAATGGGTAAATGCAATTGCTGTGGCCTTTGCCCTCCCCAAGATTTGATTTGATTTGATTTGATTTTTTTACTTACTTACTTAGTTACTTACTTACTGGGGCTTAGATGCTGTTTAGAATCAACATGATTATGAGCAGCTTGTTAAGTGTAGTCTCCAGCCACACAAAGATTACTCACTCCATTATATGCACAAAGAATATTTAAAAGAATTTTAAAATATATAGAATTGCTGACTCAATTAGTTGCCTACTAATGTGTAGATATTATTATATAAAGTGCTACTAGCAAGATATCACAGAGGAGAAATATTGCCAAAAGCAGTTCCATTTTCTTTCCATTCTTTATTTCTGTTTATTGGTGGACCAAGATTTGATTGCATTCAATAAACTGAAAATAGAGTTATGCATCTGGTTTTTCACAACACAGAGAGTAACAGGATTTAGTCAGCTACAAATCTCGGTTTTAATTTTGCTATATCTAGACTGTTGCTAAGATTTCACGTAAATTTTAGAACAATTGTTAAAGGCATCTTATATCTTACTATGTCATATGAACACACCATTTAACTAGGAGTGGTTCCCAGTGACAGATAACAAATTTGAATTTCATACATTCTTTGAGATTGTATGAAAATTTAATAATATGCAAGGAATGGAGCATTATAATGAATGAGTGATTTTCAAGCTGTACTCAAGAAGCTCTCAAAGTTTCTTGGAAACTTGTTCAAGTCCTTTTAGTGAGAATATTAGTAATGAAATACAATTTTTACTCAGAGATTGCCTGCCTGTTACAAAATGAGGATGTATTAATTAACCAAATTAATTGAATTTTCTAAAATGCTATAAAATGTCCTAAGTCTAAATGTAATCTGTATCAGTATCAGTATTTTTTTTATTATTGTTCCATTCTACCTCTCCCCAATTCACATTTGTCACTATTTGAAGTTTTTTCTTATACTTAGCTCTCTCTACTATGTGAAGTTGCACGTACACTTTTCTTTAATATGTGATTTTTAAAATTTTAATAATTCAGATAGGTACTTTGTATCTGCACCTTTCTTATATATACACCCTTTTGTATGTAGTATTATAAATATATGCATTTTTGTGTGGATATTTAAATGGCAAATCATGGGCACTAGTGGACTATGCTCACTACTGTCTGTACTGTGACAAGATATAGTTTGATGATCACATCTATTCTTTCCCATTTCTTTTGCATCCTGAGAAAGTGTTTCAGAAACTTTGGTCTCAGAAAGGGATGCTCAGAGGATGGGCAGCAAAGTTAAAGTGGCATATGTTGTCATGAAGGTGGGGCAGAAGTATGATACCGAAGTATTTAGGTATGATACCTAAGAACATCACTTCTTTTTTTCTTCTTAATAGTTTAAAATCCCCTGTACAATCCTTATTTTTTAAAATAAATTTGTAAATATGTTCAGAGTGGTGGTGGTCTATATGCTATGACTTTAATTAGCACTTTATAATTAGCTTTAGTAATTGCAGAGTTTCTGGCATATTGTAATGTTAGATTTACCATGTGGAAACACTTAGTGAAGGGCAGAAATTAAAATCCATGTTAAAATACAAAACGTCCCTCATGTATGTTTAATAGAGCAACAGGAATATAGTAGGTAAAATGTTGAATTAAAATAAAAGAGATCAGTAACCTATTGGGCACTTTGGATTTGTCATTGTTTTTCAACTAACTGTATTTTAGAAGATTAATGGGAAAATAAAAATTGGGGAGGAGAAAAAGTAGTAGTGGTAGAGGATTTGAATCAGTAGAACTGGTAGTGATGTGAGATTTTAATCATCCCAACATCTGTTGGAAGACAAACTTTCTGTAGCATAACCCTTCCAGAGATTTCATAGTAACTGATAAGGAATATTTAGTTGAGGGAGCAGAAGAAGCAGGAAAATTAGGGGAAATGAACACAAAAACCTAATATTATTACTTAGAAGGGCAACTCCTATTTTGGCTCAGTCTTCTATCACAAGATGGATATTTATTCTACCAGGAAATTATGAAGGGCAGGAATAAAGCTTGAGATTGATGATTACATAGTCAGGGAATACCTGTTTACTTTGAATGAGTTTAAAGCTCCAGAGTCAAATGAATTGCATCTAAGGTACAGTACTGAAAAAAATTGCAAATGGTCTAATTGAATTTTTATGTATGCCCTTCTAAGTAATAATGTTAGGTTTTTATGTTTGTTTCCCCTAATTTTCCTGCTTTTTCTGCTCCCTCAACTAAATATTCCTTATCTATTACTTCTCCAAGAAAACTCAAGAGAATGGGTGAAACAGGAGGAGGACAATATTGTTCCTTTCATCAAAAAGGGAAGAAAAGAGGATTTAGAGAACTGCGAACTTGTCAGTCTGTTGTTAATATTTGGGAAGATTATAAACTAAGACCTTAAAACAATATAATTCATCATTAAAACAATGTGGTGATTACCAGAAGTCAGCAAGAATTTGTTAAGAAACATTTTAATCAGACTAATCTTATTTTTTGATTCAGTAATTTCCTTAGTAGATTATGGAAGTACAATAGACATGATGTATCTTTACTTAAACAAAAAAAATAATTAAGTAGTATATGACTTTCTGATTACCAAGTTAATTAACTGTGGTTTGGATAGTGGTGCATAAGCAGCTTGCTTGAAAGTTGGGCTCAAAGAATGTTCATTGGTGGTTTCTCATCAACTGGAGTGAAATATTAAGTGAGGTACCTCAGTGATTCCTCTACTCATCAGCATTTTTTTCGTATAACTTGGATGAAAAGGTGGAGGGAATGCTTCTCAAATTTGTAGATGATACAAG